CAGATATTTTATTTTATATACTCACATACCCTTCTGAGTTACATTTTTAAATAAAAGCCTAGAACCTTATAAGCAAGGCAAGAAAAGAGACATGGCACAGGTGTCAGAGAGAAGGCATGAATAAGCTTCTGTTCCCAGGGACCCTCAACCACCACCCTCAGAATCTTATTTTCACCCACACTCACCTGGCTTCCTTGTTCACTAGGTATTTGTAGCATTTAGTTTGAAGTCAGTCATGGATTCTTATACCCTGGTGGCCTCTCACTGGGCTTGCTGGGTCAGTTGGAGGTTCAAAGAGGTTATCTTAGGTTGTATTTGTTAGAGAAGCAAAACCAGCCGAGGTGTGTGTGTGTGTGTGTGTGTGTGTGTGTGTGTAAATTTATACCAAGAGGAAGGCTCACACAGTTGTAGAAACAGGTACGTTCAAGTGCATGCAAGTTCCAAGTCTGTGGGTCAGATGTTAGGCTGGGAATTTCTCCTGCAACCATGGGCACTAGTGAGCACAACAACAGAAAGGTGCCAAGTTTGTGGCTGCAGAGGGAATGAATCCAAGGTTGACAGGTAAGATAGCAGGCTGCTAATGACTCCCAGGATAGGCAGTTTCAGCAGGCAGTTGGCTCAAGTCCAAGAACCATAGGTTAGAGGACAAACGAGATGAAGTGTCAGACCCAGCAAAAAGCCAGCAAGCTTTTCCCACAGCATCCGCTTATATTGGATGCAGGCCACACCCACGAGATGGCGTCCTTTCCATTGATTGCATTAGGGCTGTCATCTGATTAAAGGTGTTGCATCCATCCGTATCCCATTATGGAGGTGATTGCATTGTGCTAAGTTACATCATGGGGCGTGGGGGAGGGGGCATGCTACTGTGTCTTAACTGACAAACCACTGAGGTTCCTGGTCCAGCCAAAGTGACACAAAGCCTTCACAATTACAGAGGTTGAGTGGCTTCCACAGTATCTTTTGTTTGTAAAAATAGGAATACGTGTATCTTGTCAAGTGGCTCACATCTATAGTGTCTCTTGGGGGCGGGGCAGCTCCCACTTCCTGCTTGCACATTCTTGCCCCCTGCACATCCTAAGCGCAGCCTAGGCCCTCTGTACATTGTCGCCACGACACCCTATGGCGCACCACAACCAGCCCGCCCCCATGCAGAGGTCTGTCACGGATCCTGTTTGACTATGTCATACTGGTGTATGCATCGTGATGTTGTTTACCGGTTCTCACCACGGGTGCCCCACATGCTAGGCCCTCAGTAAACGCTTGCCGACCGAATTAAAATTATGGCTCCACAGTCCGGTCTCTGTAGGGCTTTAAAAACGACAGCATTTTTCTGTTCTTTATTAATAAAGTCATGCTTGTAGGAAAAATTAGTCTTAAATTCTCCTTGGCTTCTCTATTACATATACTGGGAAACAGCCAACAAACAGAAATTTTAAAGGTATTAAAATACCTGAAGGTCTTACTGCCTCAGAAAGACTGAACATGTGTTGCTGTGCCCAAGAGCTTTGAAAAGGCGTGATGACGTGATACATGGAGAACTCTGTCGTTCCGTTATAACAGTTGTCATACACGTGTGCACATCTGTGACTCTGTGTGACAGACTGCAGTTTCTAGAAGGTAATGTCCTTATGTTGTCTGGAGTGTGACAGGCTGCAAATTACTGACATCCACTCCCCAGTGACTGGAACAAGGGTGCTGCCAGAATCTGGGCGGCGACTGCTCCTCAGCACTTCAGAATAAGAGTCACAGTCTCAAATCCACACGGTGGTGTACCCTGTCCTCTAGTCTCGGGTCTCCCTGTTTTCGGTTTCCTGTGTTTAAATGTGCCTTTTGTAGTTCTGTATGCTCAGTCATCCGCTTGAAGTAGGTTGCTTTACTTTTTACCCTGTGCAGGGTGGGGCGATGGTTTGTTCTGTTGTGCAGGGGTTGCTGGAGGTCGGGTCCAAGGACGCCGCCACTCCTGGCCAGTGGACGCCTGGTGGCGGCTCTGATGCTGAGCAGGCTTCCGCTGAGCTTCCCGATGGAGACAGACTCAGCAGACACGCCTGGCCACGTGCTTCCGAAAGCCAGCCAATGAACCCACAGCAGTTGGGTCCTGGTGTACACAGGGTGGTCCTGGGTCAAGGCTGGCTGGACAGGAAACAACAACAGTGCCTATGCCCCCCTTCCCCACCCCATCCCCCCCCCAAACAAGAGAGAGAAATACTTGTCACAGTTATCTTTATTACATCTGTTTCGAGTTCACATCTTATGTACAGAAATGGGTGTGGGAAAGACCGGGAAAGCACAGGTAAGGTGGTAGGTGGTGGTGGTGATGGTGGTGGGTGCTGTTGAGTCAGATTGCGATTTCCTGCCTGCTCTACCGCTGATCCACGACAAGCCCGGTTGACAGGGACTTGGAGAGCAGGAGGACTTTTCTGAGGGGCTCTGAGGCCCTGAGTCTTCACAGCCGGCCTGTGGGCTAGCAGCCGCACACTTACTCGTCGGACCACCAGGGCTGCTGCCAGACCTGCCAGCAGGCTCGTGCTGGTGTTTTACCAGGACTGTCGTGCCAGTCAGCGGGAGCGAAGTGCTGCACTTGCGAGCGAGGGCTTCTTGGCAGGACTGGCAGGGATCTTCTCGACCTCCGTTAGCTCCAGTCAGTCTTCGCCATGCAGTGGACTTGCGGGGCCTGCACGTGTGCATGTGTCTCCCGTGCCAGGGCGCTGCTGCCTTTCAACCCCGAGATCTCACCGACAGGAACTCAAACAGCAGTGAGCGTGCAAACGTGCACACTTGGAGAGCTGTATATCACACTTGGTGGGAGTGAGTTTTAATTTCTTAGGTCTGTGAGCTGTGCCGGAAAGCACGGGTTCACCTTTAGTGGTGAATTCTCGATTATTTGATAGTAGGTGTGAAGAAATATGGACATAGGATATCTTCCTGGGCGTGTTTATCTCCCCAAAACGGTTTTTGAAACAAAGTTCACAGCTCCTCTAACTGCCTCACAAACAGGCCACCTTTTCTCTCTCAGTCTTGCTATGCTGCCAGGTGGTGTTCTAGATCCCTCCCCCCCTCCAACTTGCGCATCTTCCCCATCCTTCCTGGTGGTGTAATATGACGGCTAGGTGGAGTCGGGAAATCTAGTTCCTATGCTGATTAGGTGCAGGTGAGTGGAGCCCTGGAAGCCCTCACTCATTCCCAGCATCCAGGACGATCCGTGTTTCCCATCTGTAAACATTCACATCCTCTCTTGGTCTTCATCTGCCTGTGGTTCTGGCTTCCGGTGGCACGTACAGGGTGACTACTGCTCCCTGCCCCCCTGCAGACACCTCCTGTGATATTTCTTGGGACTGTGCCTTCTCTGGCTTCGTTCTCAACTCAGGACATATGCAATTAGGGCCGACTTAAAACTCGCCCATCTTTGCAGCCCCAGAGAAAGTGGCCAGCAAGTCAGCCCACAACTCTTGATGCAGAGCAGAAGGAGGCATTGCTTGACCCTGCACTAGCCCCACGATTGGTTGCATCTCCATCAGACTATGTTGGGTCCATAGTGGCTTTACTGGCCCATTTTCCAGGCCTTCTACCGAGTCTGCCTTTGTCTGGAAGCTCCCCAAACCCATTCTCCTGATCATAGCTACATACGTATAAGCCTCCATTGACAGGCAGTGGTTGTTCTTGGAGCTGCATTTGCCTAGAATTGAACCCAGGTCTCCCGTGTAGCAGATTCGAGGGCTCTCACTAAACCATTACTGTCCCCTGAATAAAGAGTAACTGTTTTTGTCAAGACCCTTACACTCAAGGTGTGTGGCTCTCTGTTGGGCTGAGTCAGCCCCAGGTATATATGCATCATTCACTCCGTTGTTGTTGAGCACGGTATGGGGAGCATTTCAATCAGACATTCTCTTGATGAACAAGACATGGGTTTGGCCAGCCCTCCTGAGAGTGGCCTCCAGTTGTAGGCCAGTAACACTGCCTAGCACCCTCTAGGACCATGGCATGATTGCTCATGTTTTTGGAAATCTTACAGAATGATCCCGTAGTGAGACTTTATGAGGAAGTGGGTTTGTGGGGAGTTTTCACATTCTTAAAAGGTTTGCCACTATTATATTGAACTTTACTAGGGCACTTGTGTTCGTCGGGGTAGACTAAAGAAACAAATCCAGGGAGACTCATATAGGTATAGGAAAGAACAAGAATTGTATATTGAGAAAACCTCCCAGCCCAGTGCAGATCAACTCCATAAGTCCGATATTAGCCCATATCGTACGTCCGATACTAGTCCATAAATTCCTCTTCAGACTCACACAGCATATGCAATGATGCTGAATGCAGGAAGATCACGGGTCAGTGGGTAAAAGGTCTTGTGGATCCAGTGGCAGTGGAAGCATCTCAACGCTGACGTGGCTCACCGCGGGTTTCTACTTGTCTCCCTCAGCTCTCTGAGTGTCTCCACAGCAGGAAAGGGAAGGCAGAGAGACTTGGTTTGGCCTCCAGTAAGCTGTATAGCTGGATTGCACTTCCAGATGCGGTCATCAAGCTGCGACCTGATTGACCTTTTCCCAGGTTGACAGGAGGTTATATAACTGCCATGGGTCTTCAAAAACATCTTGGAAAAATTGGATGAAGAAATAACGGAATTTTTCCATGAGCCTTCTGAAACTCCCCCAGCATACCTAAATATAATGGGGCAAACCTTTTAAGAACGTGACAAGGTCATTTTCTTGGTGTGTCTTTTTAGGGCGAGTTCTGCTGTGCAGAGTGCCTCTACTGAGAGGAGATGGAACGTAGTAGTAAGTGATTGTTTTTGATAAGGTGATGTGAGAGAAATGAAGGCGTTCTCAGGAACTTTCCCAGGTTCCTTCTCTTAAGAAGCAAGCTAATATCACTTTAAATTCTGAAGGATGCTGAAATCATTTAGGCGTGTATTTATAGTGTCCACAATTGTGCTTAAGATGCAGCTCTGTCATTGGGATGTCTGTGCATTTTTAAAATTTCTTCTTTGTTTTTAACTGCAGGAGCTCTTACCAAAGTCAAGGAGAGTCGGCGGCATGTGGAGGAGGGCAAGATGGAGGTCCAAAAGGCAGATGGCATTCAGGATCGCTGTAACACCATCTCTTTCGCCACTTTGGCGGAAATTCACCACTTCCATCAAATTCGAGTAAGAGACTTTAAATCACAGATGCAGCATTTCTTACAACAACAGATAATATTTTTCCAAAAGGTGACCCAGAAGTTGGAAGAAGCTCTTCACAAATATGATAGCGTATAATGACTGAACATTGGATTGTGGACTTCTTTCAGTTCGAGGATAATTTCGACAGCAGAATAGAAACTGTTGTCAAAGAGCTATTGCCAACTATCAGTGGTGGTACAAGGATAGGTTTTGTGTTCAACTGAAGCCCAGCTGAATATATAATGATGTAGGAAAGAAACAGTTAATAGGCTATGTAATAGAAACAGTACCACACATTGTAACTAAATTATACTATGTATGCCTACACTACCATTGTAACTTTTGGAATAATGATTATACTGTTTGCCTTATTGCTTTTTGAACTATGGGTATTTTAGTGCTTACTTGTAGACCTCAAAACCCACGAAGGGTCTCACAAAAGCTGGCTGGAAAAGCGCCGGCTGCAGATGCCTTTTTGCTCTCATCAATTGGGGTTACCTAAATTCAACCTAATCTCTGTTTACACACTCCAACTAGAGCAGCTATGCGACTTGGTGCCTTTAGACTCTTGGTTTTTCGTTCTTCTTTTCCCTCTTTTTTTCCCTTTTAATTACTCTTTTCTTTTTAAGGTAAGCCACACTTTTATGGTTGAACGAGTGCATGGCCAGTGTAGGTCATGGTAAACGGAGGGCAACCTCATGTTGGCCGGGTGTGGGGGGTGGGGGGTGGAGCTGGAGGGGGCGTGGAGCCGAGAGGACCAGCTGGCATCCATTTGTCCTGCAAGTGTTCTCTCTCAAAAGAATTCTGGCCTGGCGAGAGCAGAGGAGGGACGGGATGCTCATCTTTAGATACAAAGTTTTGTCTTTGAGGGAAGAAAAAGGTGCCACTCTAGTCCCTGAGATGCTACAGTAGCAAGAGCCTCGTCACTCAAGCGCCCTGCAGGGTTGGCATGAAGCTTGAAGTAAGCGTGTTGTATGAAATGGAGAAGAGGAGGCTGAGCGGTCAGGGGACACAGGACAGAATCAGCGACGACAGCATTTGGTTTCAGTTTGTAGTGTTTTCTTGTTTGTCTGTTTGTTTAGCTCTAAGCTCTTCGTTGACTCTTCAGTGTGTTGACTTTTGTGTTTTCCCAATCGTTCGACACTGTTAACTGATAGAGACTCCACTGTGATTCACTTGTTTACTTAATCAAAACCTTTCAGGGATGTCTGTAAAATTCAGTGTTATCCATGAAGAAAAGTAGTGTTGGTTGAGCTAAGGAGGGACCAGAAATAATTTCTACGATTCCAGATACTGAAGGAAAAGGGGGGGGGAATGATTGACTTCTGCTGCATTTTTAAAAGAGAAAAGTTATTGATGAACTCCCAGGACATTTGATCTTAAAAATGATTGAAACTATATTCTTTTTTCATTATAAGGGAAATACAAATAGCTAATAAATACCAAAAAGATTTAAAAGCAGCTTACTTTAAAAAGCACAAATAGATTCATACTTGCAATTCCTAAATCTCCCTGTTTTCATCCATGGTGGGCTAAGTCATGTGATTTTTGAGCTTACAGCTTTAGAAGCCCACTGAAAGGTTAGAGTAGCCACCGTTTTAGGAAGTCAGGCTTATGCGGCCTCCATAATCACTTGTTACTTACGGAAACGTTACGTAATCAGTAAAGAGGTCAGTTTGAGCTATTGGTGAGCCAGATTGATTAAAGAAAAGGGTCAATTTGCAAATTGTCAGAAAAAGAACAGGTTCTTGAAATAAGTACGAAACAGCACATTTAATCTCAGAAAAGTAACTTCAGATGGGTTACATTTTTTCAGCTCAGATTAGCTAATTTTAATAACTTGGCTCGATTTCTAGACTTCCAGTTACTTGGAGCCAGTTTTAATATGCGGCTCTGTCTTCACCAGAGAGATGTGGTGCTATCACCAAATGCCTCGCCCTCCGAAAAAGTAACTGTTATTTTCCCGATAACAAAATAGAGTTCTGGCAGTGCGAGCCCCATGTTTACGGATACTTGTTCATTTTACCGTGGACGTTTGGGGCGGACAGTGCTTGCTTTAAACTTTGAGTCCATGTTGGTCACATAGGTAAGCTGCTTTTCGAATGAATTGGAAATCCCTTTTATTCGCCTCTTTGTTTTGACAGTGGTTTGATTCCCCCCCACCCCCACCCCCCTTGAGTAACATCGCTAAATTTGTGCAGTGGCTGCAGGGACATAGCTGAGGTCTGTGTGGCTGTGCAGGAGCGGGGGTGGGCATAGCCTAAGTGATCAAAACCCAAGACTGAAGTACAAGCAAGTGCAAGTTCATGCTGCCTCCAGAGAAGCATACTTTTGTTCTTGATAACCACGTGACATCAGCATGCCTCTGGTTCATAGAGGGTCTCACTGAACTCCGTGGGGCCGAACACCAGAACGACTCGCTCTCATTTCCTTCTCAGATCTTCATTTCTCTAACGTTCTCGGTCCGATTGAAACATTTCGATATATAAAAAAAAAGTACTGCAATGTTAATACCCAAGAGAAAAGCCATCATCGTGTGTATGCTGGTCGTGGTGACCAGCGAGGTACAGTTTTTTAATAAAAATAAACGATCATGCCCTTCATGCTATTGCTTGTGTTTCTTTCATTAATTTGTACTTCTGCTATCGGATGTGTTTGCAACATGAGGGCGGCCCGATTGGATCCTGGCTGTGCTGTTTTAATTAGCAGTGGCGGGGTGTATATGCTCTTAACTGCAATGCAGGGAGACCGGTTCCTCAAGCCACGCACAGTAGCCCCATTACCCTTCCAGGCTGTTGCTTCTGAAGGTGTGGGTTGAACCCGGAATGAGGAAACACACTTGAAAACAAAGCGTGGAGTCAGTGCACATTGTCCTGGCCGAAGCAGTCGTTGGAATTTCACTGGACCTCACTGAGACAGGAGTCTTGCATTTGTCTGGAACAGAACAGCAGGTTCTGGCATGCCGCTTTGCCAGGTTCCTCAATTTTGCTGGTGTTCTCCGAAGGAAGGATCTGAAGAACCTTGTCGTCCGTCAGGTGTGTAAAGTTTTACGTCTGCTTTCACACTGTCTTTTTCTAAGTCCATAGCTGTAGCCATTCATTTTTCGTGTACATTCTCATTTCCTCGATCAAATACCATGTCAGCCAGCAGAAACGGTTTTCTTCTTTTCAATGCTGTCTTCGCCTAACAGGATAAGAGGAACAGTGTTATTTATTTGCAGACTGCAAATGTTGAATATTGTTTTATTTCTTTCAAAATGTTATGATTAGTGCAGACCGGCTGGGTTTATCTGCTAAAACATAAAGGAAGGTTGCTTTATTTCTCATCTCCAATGGAATATAATTATTTTTCCCTTCCATTAGTCAAGAAGGCATTTATTGGAAGGGATTGAAAGAAACACTGTGTTAATTTAAAGCCATTTAAATTATTGTATTCACGCTATTGTATTAACTTAAAGCCATTATGCTTCACTGCCTGTGTGTGCTGATGTCGGAGCCTTAGTTGTCGGGTGCTGCTGTAGCAAAGACCAGAGATGGGTGGCTCTGACACTCGGAATTTATTCTCTCACTTGGCTGTTGTTAGCTGCTGTCCTGTCAGTTCCAGCTTACAGCAACCCCATGTACAGGGCATCGGACCCCGCCTGCTGTGCGCCATCCTCGCCGTCGTTCTTAGGTTGGAGCCCATCATTGCAGCCACTGTGCAACCCGTCTTATCGAAGGCCTTCCTCTTTTGCACGGCCCCTCTGCTTTGCCAAGCACGATGTCCTTCTCCACGGTCTGGTCTCTCCTGACATGTCCAAAGCACCCGAAAAGACGTCTTGCCATCCTTGCCTCTAAGGAGCATTCTGCCTATACGTCTTCAAAGGCATATTTGTTTGTTCTTTTCACAGTCCACGGTACCTTCAGTATTCATCACCAGCATCATCATTCAAACACATCAATCTTCCCGTCTTCCTTATTCAACGTCCAACAATCGCTTGCATATAAGGCAATTGAAAATACCATGCCTTGGGTCAGACCCACCTTAGTCCTCAAGTAACATCCTTTCCCCCCAATTCTTTAAAGAGGTCTCGTGCAACAGATTTACCCAAAGCAGTGCTTCTGTGGGCATTGATCATGGATCCAAGCAGGATGAAATCCTTCACAACTTAAATCCTTCCTCCATTTATCATGATAGTAACTATTGGTCCCGTTATGGAAATTTGGGTTTTCTTTACATTACATTGCAATCCATATTGAAGGCTGCAATCCCGGCAAGTCCTCACCTTCAGCAAGCCAGGAGTGTCACCTGCATGTTGCAGGATGCCTTCCTCCAACCTTCATACTGCATTCTTGCATCCCACTGTTCTCAGTTTAGGATGCTAGAAGTCCAAATTCAGACCTCCCAACCGTAGGGGAAGGCTTGTGTTCTATGTCCACTCAGGGAAGAGCCCCTTCTCTTGGCTTCTGCTCTTGATTCTTGGAGATCGCCGCGTAGCTTGGCACCCCTCTTATCCATCTCTACTTATTAAATCAATAAGCTCAAGACACACCCTACACTGAACCTACCTTATTCTCAAAACTATTTACAACCAGCAGTCGAGCCACTGGCATGCTGTGTTGTTAGATGCCATCAAATCAGTTCTGACCAAGAGTGACCCTCAGTCTGACAAAGTGATACATTGCCCTGGCTCATACTATCTACACACGTGTCATGTTTGAGCCCATTATTGCAGCCACTGTGTCAATCCATCTCGTTGAGGAGCTTCCTCTGGCTGAGCCTGTCCCAAGTACGATGTCCTTTGCCAGGGACTGGTCCCTTCTGATAATACACTCAAGGCTTATGAGAGGTATGTGAAAGAAAGCAAGAATGTTGTTGGAGGACTAGCGTAGTGGTTGAGTGTTGGGCTACCATCCCCATGGTTGGCAGCTCGAGATCATGAGCAGCTTTGAGGGAGAAAGACTGACTGAGCTTTCTACTTCTGTAGACAGAGTCATGGAGACCCGTGGGGGGTCACTAGGAGTCAGCATTGACTTGATGGCAGTGCGTTTAGAGTTTTTGGAAGGAGGGCCTGATACACCATTCACCATCCTTGCTTCAAAGGCGTATTTGATGCTACCCCCCAAGGCAGTTATTTTTCTGGAGTCCATGACACTTTCAGTGTGCCTCACCAACACCCCAACTTGACTGTATCGACTCTTCTCCGGCCTTCCTTGTTCATTGTCCCGCTTTCACGTGCACATGAGACACTGAAATACCATGGCTTGGATCAAGTGCTCTTTTATCCTCAGAGTGACCTGCTTGCTACTTAATACTTACTAAGGTCTTTTGCAACAGATTTACCCAGTGCAACATGTTGGATTTCTTGATTGCTGCTTCTGGGAGCATTGATTATAGCTCCGAG